AGAGAGAGAGAGAGAGAGAGAGAGAGAGAGAGAGAGAGAGAGAGAGAAGATGGCGGAGAGGAAAGAGAAGAGGCCAGGGAAGCTTTGCCTATTTATGTGGGACTATAAAATCCTGGGTGTTCGGCCATGCCCCCAGAGCCCTGCCACGAGGTCTCCACGTCTCAAGTAGAAGGCGGGGAAAACAAGTCTCTGCCTCAAGATTTCCCTGGCCCCGCCCTTCTCCCCCTTTCTGATATATAAACAAACACCTTCCGACAAGTTTCAGGAGAGCTCAACACCACCCAAACCCGCCGTCTGTTAATAAATAAATGCATCTTAAATCTCCACATGTCTCGTGAATTCTGGATTCGTGTAAGTCAAGACTCCCGCGCGCCCCTGTCCACGCGGGGTGGGAGAGGGACTCTAGCTAGCCGCGCAGCTGCCCGCCCCGGCACTCCTTGCACTCTAGCTAGCCACTCGGCTGCCTGCACCGACTCGCGTCCTGCGTCCCCTGTCCCCCGCCACCGCCCGCCGCTCCCCCAGAATGTCTCTGTTCGCTTCTGCTCGAGCTGCGCAGCTGCCCATGACCAGAGTGCATGGGCGGTGCGCGACATATTTATACAGATGAGGATGATGACGCACTGAGTTTGGACCTATACCAACAGTGGCTACAGCACATAATTCACTTATTTGTGTGGCAGCAGGGGGAAACTTAAGAAAATGAACATGTAATCCAATTATATATACTGTCTTCCCATTAGGTGAGCTGACTGTAAATATTTTTTGCCTTTGAATATTTTCTGGAGCAATAAGCATTCCCCGAAAAATATAAAGCTCATTGTATGAGTGCAAAGGCTTGCATTAAAACTCCTTCAGAGAGATCAACTAATAAAATACCATACAATGAATAATATAATGAAAGATTCAAACTCTTAACTTCTTGTATTAAAGCAACAACAAATTTTTTATATAATGTAAGGCTATTAGCCATTCCTTGAGGCAAAACTTTCTAGTGATATCACTTCATGGCCTCTCAAAAAGTACAAGCATACTCACTGAATGCAAACTTCCCACCTTTACCAGGCTGTAAAGGAACAGTATAAAAACACTTTTCTAAATCCATAATAATTCTATATACATTTCCTAGAATGGCAGCTGGAGTAGGCAAGTCAGGCTGTAATGCCCCACAAGTTTCTTAAGTTTGAACTTTGTTTTGTATTAATTGAATAACCAATCCCTTGTAGCTGAGTAAGAGTATCAGATAAAAGCCAAGTTGAAGGCCAGTCTTGTCCTCTCTTACTCTTTGAGCAATTTTTTTTTTTTTTTTTTTTTTGGTTTTTTGAGACAGGGTTTCTCTGTGTAGCCTTGGCTGTCCTGGAACTCACTCTGTAGACCAGGCTGTCCTCGAACTCAGAAATCCACCTGCCTCTGCCTCCCAAGTGCTGGGATTAAAGACGTGCACCACCACCGCCCGGCCTGAGCAGTTCTTTTATTAGCAGGCACAGCTATAAGGTCATGGAGGGAAGCAGGCATAATTTTAATTTCTCCAACATAATCATTATCCATAACTCCTGGCCCATAAGCTGTCTGTTGTGAATGTCTTTGGGTCTGAGGCTGACCTTTCCTCCCCAAGGAAGAAGCAAGACAATAAAACAAATTCCTGAAAACACCTTTCTAGGGGCTGGTCAGGGTGGCCATGACAAAAAGAATATCATACCAGCTTCTGCTGAGCCCACTCAGAGCTTTGTCTTAACTCAAATGTGAGAGTTCTTAATCTGGGCCTATTTCCTGAGGCCTGGCCCAACGATTATCCTTCCTGCACTCAGAACAGATTCCAGGGGAGTGATTCTGCTGTCTATGCCTCTATTTTTTGGATAGTCTTTCCTAAAACGACCTATGTCACCATACTTAGAACATTCCTTATCACCTCAGCACTGTGAAAGCATGACTTGAACTGTAGTTAGCATTCTCATAAGCCAATTGTGTAACAAAAGGAACTCCTGCCTGAGGGTCTCTAAAAATTCTACCAGCCCTTTTAGCAGCCTATCTACAAATTCCTGAAATGATTCATCGGGGCCTTGTTTGATCACAGGTAAAACTACCACTGAGATCTCCTTTTCAATCTTAGGTGGCTAAATTTGCCTCTACCACTGTATCTAATAGCGCTGTAAAAGTGGCAGCAGGGCTGTACTGTGCTACAGTTGTGGGTTTTGCTGGGAATTGAACCTCTGGAAGAACAGACAGTGCTCTTAACTGTTAAGCCATCCCACCAGCCCCACTACAGTTGTTTTTAACTCTTTTATTACTCTTGAAATCATCTCCACCTACTTGATCCTCTTCTCAATTATAAACATGAGTGAGTCAAAAATTCTCAAGCTCACGATTTGAACTGCCAACTGCAGCCAATAGAACATTAGCAGTTTAACTATATTTTTGAGTTTCTTTTGTAATATTAGAGTAACCATAATTTTGGTAAACAAAACCAATTTTTAACAATGCAAACAATCCATTTCCTCTAAAAATCAACACCAAGTGCATTACTTTCATCTTACAAGGTTTGGCTGCCAGTTCTTATATATGAATGCATGATAGCACAGCTTTTAATATCTCATTAAAGAGATATTGTTTTAAATTCTATCTTTTATACATCTGGTTTCTGAATTACTCCAACCCTGAGTTACCAGTTTTAAGCCAACTTTCTGTTACCAAGGTTGCAAAAATTTTTAATCATACCCAATAACTTATAGGCCAAAAATCTATAATGAAGACATACAGAACATATATATACCTTTAAAAGCAGTCAGAAACAAAAATGTAGATGCACATCTTATATATTTTATCCAAACAAAATTTTCTTACTTTTTCTAGCTGTAATTTCAAGAGAAAAACACCTTGTTTAACTATTTTTTTGAGCATGAAACATAGAACAACAATCATTCAAATGATGAAACAAAATCAGACAATTGACACACGTGGACAGATTGGCATGCCAAGGACAGACACTAGACAGAGAAAGCAAGACTGAGGATCTCTCCTGTAGGAGCCAGAGAAAAGGCAGGACATCTCCTGATTTTCTCCTGCTCCCAGGAGGGCTCTAAAATAGCCTATTTCTTTTCTTTTGTTAACAAGGCCTGCGAGCAGACAGCTGCTTTAGCCCTTTCTCTCCCTCATCTTCAAGGTTTAACTTCTCTTCTCATTCTTAGGAGGTGTAGCATTTTTTTCATCAATAGTCTCCTCTTGGGGAAACATCACCAATGAAATCTTTTAAAGATCCTTTTTTCTTAACCCTTAATTCTTGTGTCTTGAGGGACTCCTTGAAACCCTTTAAGAGCAAATCATGTTTGCTTAATGCTTGTCCCCTAATTGTGTTGCCCTACCTTACCTTAACCGGATCAGTCTCACAGGCGGGCAATTCTGTAGCGATCGCAATGCAGATCTTCACCTTTGCGGTGAAGTGTCGATCCTATGCCTGAGGGACGTTCCAGTGGGAGCAACGTTTGATCAGACCCTGATCCAAAGGCCACACATCAGGCGCCAACTGCTCTGCCTGCAGGGACTCGACGAGACTCTAGGGAAGGGGGCGAAAGAATGAGAGCAAGTCTGGGGTTCTGATCAAGCTCTGCAACTTTAATTTCAGGGGCAGGTTATAAAGACACAGCAAACTGGGAAGTTTAGGAAAGGGTCATTGCTTAGGGCTATCCCACTATTGAATGCTTATTGCCCTAGACCATCCCACTGTCATAACCGGCTCCCAGGAAATACTAGATATTATTTGAGTTCCTGGGACCTGAGACCCACGAACGTCCTTTCTTAACCTTGTACTGACTTTCCAGAACAGCAGGTAATTTCCTGGGTTTGGCTCCCAGCAGATCTTAAAAGTAACATGCGACATGTTAACCTTAAACTATGCAGCACAGTCCCCCAGGATGGGCTGTTTCTGTGTTTTAGGAGAGGATCTCTCATGGGAAGAGAGGAAAAATATGATGGGTGTCTGGATGGAAGTGAGCCTGAAATAGGCTCCCACGCAGGTGTCAGTCAGTAGATGTGAGCTGGATGGCATGCTGGCAAACCAAGTCAGGGCCAGTGAGAGTTAGGACAACAAAGATATTCTGGGCTGTGGGAACATCTATGGAGCCAGCATCTTGGTATACCTCCAAAGAGAAGACACCTTCTGGCTCTCCTTAGTTTTTCCAGCCCATGCCAAGTGCCACTGGCTTCCTTGGCAATGGGAAGGGGCTGGCTAAGAGAGTAAAAGCCTTTCTGAGCAAGACTTTCCTTCCTGCCCCTCCCTGCCCTACACCTCCTACTCTAAAAAAAGAGAAAGCTCTTGGTAGGTAGGAGATGCAGGGAGGGACTTAGGGAAATGGATGAGGAATAATAGGAGATCACCAGGTTTGTCCGATCTCTACATCCTTTCTAATCCCGGCTCCTTTGGGGCCACCTGGCACTCTGAGAATTCCTTTGCAGAGGACAGCAACTGGTCCTTTACCCAGGCTGTCCACAGAAGCCATCCCACAGTACCTGTGCCTGGAGGTAGAGGTCTCATCTTCAAGGATGGTGTTAGCACTATCGAGGGTTTCTATGTCAGCCTGGGTGGTCCATGCTGGTTTGTCTGTTCTTCTGCTTGTCTGTCTGTCCTTCTGCTTATCTCTCCTTCCCTGCTACTCTAGCTTGTCTCTCTTTGTTGAGCCTGGGTTTCCTCACACTCCCTGCTGGCTAGGGGGATACCCATCTTCTGTATCATGGACTTTTGCCCTCTTTTGCCTTCCAGGGGCCTGGAAAAGGATGGCAGCTTTGAAGGCCACACAGTGAAGAAACAGAACAGTATTCACCTGACTCTGCCAGATGCCCATGATGCAGACTCTGGTAAGATCAGGGTTGATCTTGCTCTGGGTGGAGCTGGCAGTTGGCCCACAGATGGGTAGTGGTCACCTGTTGTGTGCAACAGAAGGAAGGTCCCTACCTCCTAGGTGTAATGAAGAGGGAGGTAAATGGGGCTGGAAGTTGGTGTGGGCAGAGTGTGCTGCCCCATACACCAAAGCCAGAGACCAGAGTCTCCCCAGTGTCTGGCTCGGGTGTCAAACAGAAAAGAATGGGCTGAACTCATTTTAGTTTGAAAGTAGGTTGACTGAAAAAAACTCATTGAGATGCCCAGGGCTGGTGAAATTCAAATGAGTTTAAGAATTACAAACGTATGTACATCTTTAAGACCAGGACCTGCTTCAAGCAGAGCACATCCCTCAAAGACACAAAGAAATTAGTCAGAGTGGAAATGGAAGTGGAGTTGGACTTGGTAACACTGCTCTTCTGTCACTTCCTCCAGGACGTGAGTCAAGCTGCGCTTTGTTATTCAAGGGATGGAGTGGATTTCACTAGCCAAACCCACCACTTGACTCCAGAGACCATAGCAAGGGTGCTCAGCAGCTGGGGGAACCCCCAAACCCAAGGAAGGGCACGGGTCCCCTTGCAATTAAAGAGACAGGAATTGTATCCAGTTATTAGGGCTTTACATGTTCTTGTCTCGTAAGTGGTAGTCATCTGTGGTTTGTCCTGAGGCCTCCTGAATTTATTGGAGCCTTCATTGCTTCTGAGAAAGAGAACATGTTCATGTTTCATCTGCATGGGAATTTTAAATGTCAACAGCTTACATATCGGAGGAGGGTCCATACTACCCACTACCACAACAGGAGAGGATCTCTGAAGGCATAGGTTAGCTATTGCCCAATAATCTTTTGCTTCGCAGATTCAAATGAGTGGGATCTTAGCATACATGAAACAGTGTGTACTATGGAAACAGAAAGTCAAGGTCACAAAGAAAGAAAAAAAATCATCCCTCAATTTCCCACCTGAGGAGAGGCACTTCGGAATTCTTTCAGTTCATGCCCATTTTCAGTACTTTTAATGTGGTTGAGTTCTGTACGAGTCGTTCTGCATTCACTTGCACAGTGTATGTGGCTGCAATATCTTCAGAGCCTTGTGTGACTACACTTCCACTTATTTTTAATCAGCCCCTGTTGTTGAACATTTAGATAACTTTCTATTTTCTGTAGTAAAGGTGGAGTGAAATGAGCATCTTCGCTGACATTATGATTATTTTCCCTGGGAATAAATTCTCAGTGGGATTTTTACTAAATTGCCCTTTTAGAAGCTCAGCTGTAGAGAGGAGCAGGCAGAAGGCCTTCCCTGATGGGTCTGTGAGCTGGTTGGTTGGTTGGTTGGTTGGTTGGTTGGTTGGTTCGTTCGTTCATTTGGTTTTTGGTTTTGGTTTTGGTTTTGGTTTTTTGGTTTTGCTGACTCCCCCGCTCTGCACTGGATGCCCTGTCTAGACGCTAGCTGGACACTGACTGTTCCTTGGCCAGCAGCATGTGACATCCTGACTTCCACTCACCCCTGCCCCTCTTGTTCTACAGGCTCCAGGCGAGCATCATCTATTGCAGCCTCAAGGCTGGAGGAGGCCATGTCGGAACTAACCATAACAACTTCAGTCCTAAAGCAGGGTCCCATGCAGCTGTGGACCACACTGGAGCAGATCTGGCTCCAGGCTGGTGAGTGTCCCTTGACCCAGCTGGGGAGTCAGTCCCAATGATGCTCATCTCCATGGCTGAAGCCACCAGCTACCCAGATCCCTACCCTGTTCTTGAGGATGAAGGAGCTGTAGAGTTCTGGTGAGGCTTACACAGGCTTACACTCTTAAGTTTTGTAGTCCTAGCTATTTTCCAATTCACTCTCTTTCACCCCTCCCCTCTTTAAGCTTGGCCTAGCCTCAGAGAAGGTTTGCATTCAGAACATAGACCCTGGGATCTTGTCCTCGTGTCTCAGGATCTACAGAGTGGAGAGGCATGTTTCAGAAGAACAAAACCACCCACCTCCCTGTCTCTGAGATTTCTGCTTATATTATCTGCCTGGATGTAGGTTTCCTTCTTTGCCCAGTGGGGAGAATTGCTTGGTTAGGAGAGGCTGTGAAGATAAAATAGTCCCAAGGGCTAAGGACATGGAGATGGGTGTCCAGGTGCTGTACCTTTTGATCAGCAGCCAGCACTGTTCCCATAAGCCAATGACTGCTGGAGGAATAGGTTTCCAGAAGCCATGACTTGAGTCACCCAGATTAGAGCCCTGGGCTGCCTGACAACTTGGCTAGCCCCCAGTCTGAGATGACTCCTGTGAAAGCAACTGGTGCAGCACATTGTGGGTACTACCCAGATAGTCCATGGCTTCCGGAGCTGTCTTTGGGGTCATGGTGGGTCAGAGGCTGTGAGGGACACACAGACTGTGTGCTTGGCACAGAAATGCCAGTGAGTGACTCGTTGGAAAGTGTTCAGCAACTGACAGTGGTGTGGTGGATTCCAGGGAAAGGAAAATCAAGGATAAGAATAATAGTCAAATAAAATGTCTTTGGCAGAAGAAAGATGAGAGTCCTGAACTCTACAGGTCCAGCCTGCCTTGGTCCAAAATTGCCAAGACTGGACCCCAGGGCACCATCTCCTCTAGGTTAGTCTCCCTTGACTCCTGTTCTCACAGGGGTGGGCTATAAGCCCCAAGGTTGGGGTATGGAGTAGAAAGCATTGGAGAGCAGATAGTCAGTTCCCCAGATAGGTCATCTTGGCAAGCCAGAGTTCAGATGCTCACTTATAAGGAGTACTAAGGTTACTCCTGGCATGCTTCTACATATGGACTCATTAGCATGCACTCGATACCCACTGCTCTTGTCCTGAACTCCGAATGTGGAGAAAAAATTGGACCAGTATTCACAGAAAGCCTAGACATGACAGCACTGTAATAATGCAAATACTGTCCTGCATATAGCGTGTCAGGATTTCTTGGGATATGTGAGGAACTGGGGGAAAACTGCACAGCAGGAAAAGGAATATCGGAGGACTCAGAGGCATAGGCAGAGGTGCTTCTGTTCCCTCAGGGAGTTGTGTGATTACAGATCCAAAACTGCAGTGTCTTATACAAGGGAGAAGCCTATTCCAGCAATACAGAAACAGCAGCCCTGGGAGATGCCCTGCCTTCTCTAGGGCATTGCTCTTGTCGGTGTGGCTCACAGCGGCCCCTTGCAACATTCACATTCTGAGGCATGAGATAAACATGAAGGGAAAGCACCCTCCCTCTTCCTGTAAGGACTAGAGTCTGCACACATCACCTCACCTTGTGATTCATGGCCAGGGCATGGTTCATGCAATGGGCTCTGGCATCCTTCATGTTCCTATGCCTTACTATAAATCATGAGATCTGCCCTTCTAGAAGAAGCTGGAAATAGACATCTTTCATGGTCAAGAAGGGAGTAGGAGTCTGTGTCCTAGGGCTCTCATTGTGAGTACATTGGGACACATTTGTATCCTCTGTCCCCTGGCTGCCGTCTTCATCAGCACCTACTGAGTACTTGGAGGAAAAGCTGCCAGGACCAGGCCAACAAGGCCATGCCTTCTCCCCACAGTGCCCCACCTGACCCAGGCTAAGCATACAGTGATCAGCATCCCCCAGTCGCATCCACTAATAATGCTAATGATCCTGAAAGATGCTGTGAAGACAGGAAAGAAGAGATCCTTTGTTGTTTCTGGGGGAGCCAACCTTAAGTTTGGTTAGGGATAAATTGCAGCCCAGTCTGGTCAGTGAGTTCCACTGTGAGACAACTCTGACTGGGAAAGCCATGCCCTTCTCTGCAGACTTACTCTCTCCTCTCCTCTCCCTCATGTCCCCCAGCCTCGGAGAGAGTTTGCACTGAAGCTATCTGTTCAGAGCTTACTTACTGGGCAGTGAGTTGGTGAGAATGGGAATCCTGCCTCCAGACCCATGGCTATTCCAGAATCTTCAGTGTGAAGAGGGCTGTTCCAGAAGAGTAACAGACACACACGCACACACACACGCCTTCTCACTACTTGACATCATCTCTGTGTACCAGAGAGAGCAGTGTGAACACAGAGACTTTCCTGCTCTCCAGATCCGAGGACTCTGGAGCAGCTCTAGGCTCTCTGGGTCTGAGGCTAACCTGGTCTCCAGTCTCTACTCAGTCATACTACCTCAGTGCCTTAGGGGCCTCATCCTGAAAGTAGAGGCCACCCAATATGTGCCCAAATTAGCTCTTAGAAGGCACCCTGCTTTTTAGGGCAGGGCCAGACTGAGAGCAAAAAAAGGCCACAAAAGCCATCTGATCCTGTGACCTGCACCTCCCTTCAGCCATCTTGCTCTTCATCTCTGATGCCTTCCTTGGCTCTTTGCCAGGCTCCTACCCTGCTTGCTCTTCCTGGCTTCAGTGTCAGGAAGACCTTGGAAGACCTCTCCACTTGTTCCAGCGATTTCTTCTCCCATCCCCTCCAGAGTCAGGACTAGTGGGGTCCTGGGCCCTGACGGCCTGTCCCACTCCTCCTGCCATGCTCTCTGGAACTCAGTGCTGGAGGAGTATCCTCTTCTTTGGAGTCTCTGATCTCTGACCTTTCTCTACCCTACTCACACAGTTCCTTTTCTTTCTATCTTTATTCTAAGCAACTTCACCTCTTCAGGGCCTGCTTTGTGGGGAGCCATGCTGACCTCCTTTGAAATGGATAAAACTGTCCTCACTGTGGTGGTCAACATCAAGCCAGCCAGGAGAGATTCCTTTTAGATCAGTGGTTCTCAACCTTCGTAATCCTGTGACCCTTTGATAGTTTCTCCCCAACTATAAAGTTATTTCATTACTACTTCAAAACTGTAATTGTGCTACTGTTGTGATTTGTAATGTAAATATCTTATGTGCAGAACATCTGATACGGGACCCTGTGGAAGGGATCAGCCAACCCTCAGAGGGGTTGTGACCCATAGGTTATTTTCACTCCTGACCCCAGGCCCTGCACAGCTCCCTCCCTTTTCTGAGGTCATGGCAGGGCCTCAGCTGGGAAGGTCTTGAGCTCCTGGAGGGGCTCCCTGCTTCTCAGCATCTGGCCAGCCTGAGGACAGGACCCTCACAATTTTACACAAGTGTGGAAATGGGCCTTGGAGAGTTAAACTAGCCACCAGCCTGGGGCCTAGAGCCCTGGTTTTGGCGGGAATGGCAGGCCCCTGGAACCAGCTCTGGGTGCAGGGTTAGACCAGAATATCTCTGAGAGGAGGAATAAAAGGGACTCTTGTAAAGCTCGAGGGAGCAGATGTTTTCCATTTGTACCCTATGGAGAGAAAACACAGAGGGAAGGCAGCAGAGCAGAGAGAGAACCTTTGAGCTGAGAGAAAGGAAACCAGAAATGGGATGAAGAGGAGGTCAAGAGGCAAGCAGGGAGGACTGACGATGAGACAAGAGCAAAGAGAGGGAGGAGCTGAGGGACGAGGGAAGAATGGAGGTGTGCTAGCTGCTCCCAGATAAACCTAAGCACTAATCCAGCCCTAGCCAGAGGAACATGTGGGTGTGGGCATGGGTGGACCTGGCAGCCAGGCCTGTAGGAAGAGATCCAGGCAGTGGTGGGCACCAAGCCACCAGGCTCCTGCTGAAGTTGAGGCTGGCTGGCTGGCTGGCTACGAGCACCATGTTTGGTAAAACAGCAGGCAGTAGCTGGAGCAGCAGCCCATGGGCACTGAGGCTCTGAAACGTAGTACACTGAAGTCCCCAGAACCTGTATGACTGTTATCACATCTGCGGCCTTACTAAGGAGGCTGGACCTGTGTGTAAGGGGCTGTTCACAGCATGGCCAGAGCCCTCAGGAGACCTGCCAGTCTGACTCTGGGTTGTGTCACCTGGCTTCATGCCTAAGTGATAAAGAGGCCCAGCAGAGAGCAGGGTAGCCCACTTCTCAAGGAGTGTTCCTTTTTGAGTGGCTTCTCAACCAGACTTAGGGCCTCTCAGAAAGCCCCACTGCCTAAGAAACAGCCTCAGAAAGCCCCAGGGTCCCTAGCACTCCCTCTAATTGAAATCTGTTGATGTGAACACACCAAAGAGTACCCAAGGCAGGGACCAGGGGCAGTCTCCTGGGGACTTGGAGGATAGAGCAGCAAGTTGTAAACAGCTTAATGAGCCATGACAGGGCCCAGCCTAGCTGGGGCTTGAGTGAGAAAGATCTAGGCACAGAGAGTCTGACCCTGGATCCTCAGAACTCTGTCCACAGAGAACCACTACCACAGGTAGTGGTATGGTGTATGGTGTGGGCATCCACCCTGCACCAAGCCTCTTACCGCACTGTCTCTAGCATACCCCAGGGGTGCTGCCACAGTAGAACCTGCTACAGCCTGGCCTTTCTTCTTTCTGCCTGCTTAAATGTGGAATCCTCTAGGAAAACCTTCCCTACCACTATGGCATTGACCAGGCCCACACTGTACCTGTGAGACCCAGAAATGGTGCCTCTCAGGTGTTTTAGTGACTCGGTTATCATTGCCACTTCCCTCATTCACTTTCCTTATGGGTGGACAGGACACATGGTCAGTGTTGTGTGGTTGCACAGTGTACACTCAGCTATGAATACAGCCTGTTCAAAGACTCCAGAGGCAGCTCATCAGGAGAGTAGATAAGGAGAGCTGGTAGAGAGTCACCAAATCCCTGATCCCTGGCCAACCCCACCCTGTGAGGCCCTGGCTCAGAGATGCCCTCTCTGGTGTTATTCTGTCTCTAAGGATAGGACCTGTGAGTGTCTGCCTGTCTCTCTAGCCATAGTATGGGGGTTTGGTTCCTCTGGTTTTTTCTTCCTCAGATTATCCCGGCTTCTTCTCACCACTAGATGTGCTCCAAAGGCTCTCTGTAAGGATTTGGGATGAGACAGGCTACTTGGACATCACAGTGAATGTTAGGTCCATTCCTGCTAAGAACCCTTCCTGCTCTGGGCCACAGTCAAGGCCTTTCTGACAGGCAGAAGGGATGCCAGAGTCAGCTCTGGCCACCTCTTCCTGAGAGTTTCCATTGGAAATGTCTGTTACCTTCCCCACCCCAGACATGCTCTGAACTGGTGTAACCTCAGTGTTTGGCCCCTGCTAGGAAAAGCTCTTGGAAGAATCACAAGCCAGACTCTGCTGGCCTCCCAGGTCCCATCTGTGTTACCATCCTTCTGTGACTTCCACATGGGCACCAGCTCCGGGAGGGGCAGTCGAGCTCTGGGGGCTGCTTGGAAAAAAAGCAGAGTGGGCCAATGAACAGCATTTCTAAAAGTGTCTGTGGTGGGCGAGTGCCTTCCTGTGTGGTGAAGGGCTGAAATGCGCAGTTCTGTGGGCTGCCCTGCCTGGAGATGAGAGAAACTGTACCGTTTCTCATACATCTGCATCTCAGGGATAATCTGATGATCTGATGCTGCCTGAAAAAGGGTGTGTGTGTGTGTGTGTGTGTGTGTGTGTGTGTGTGTGAGCTTTAGAGTGAAGCTGTGGGAGAGGGGAGGCCGGTCCTCCAGTTGTCCTTTCTCCCCTCCTCAGCTTAGCTGTTTAGAGGGAAGATCGTAATTACACAGGCCTCCCTCTAAAACTGCTTGTCAGAATTAATGAGACATAATAGCTTGTGATGTTGGGGTTTGCCCAAGTCAGCCTCCCTAAATACAGGTTTTACCCATGTCACCGTTACCTCTTGGTCTTCACTTTGTGGGCCTCATCAGGGGCCCCAGAACTCTTTGCCTCTATCCTTCCCAGTGCTTAGTTCCTCTTGGGCTTCAAGCATACTCCCACTTCATCCTGAGCATGCCAGGGCCTAGTAAATCCCTTCGAGACTGAGAGACCTCCAGGGGAGTCACCTGGTCTGTTTCCATGCTGTTGTCTGCCCAGAGAAGCAGATAGACACCGAAACATGTGTCTAAGACAGGCAAGCAAGCATTCAACGCTGGGCCACACCGTTCCCCACTGCCTGCCCACCGTCTGAAGTCAGCCTGACACACACTACAACCCTGTCAGTTACTTGCTCCCTCTGCTGTTCTAGGTTTCTATCATGGGGTCGTGAAAATACTTCCTCCAGGGTTTCTGTGGCATTGACTAAAGCAGTTTGTGTGAAGTGCCCAGCATGGTGACTGACAGTACCCACTGTTACCCTTATACTTCCCAGCAAAATAGCCCTGTGCTGTGACTCTGTGGCTTCCTCTGGGAGCCTTCCTGGCTCAGGAATGAGTGCTGGGGCCACTGCCTGTGACTCCCCTCATTCACACTTAGCCCTCTCTTCACAGCTGAGCTGTTCATGGAGCAGAGGCAACTCAAGGAAGCAGGTTTCTGCATCCAGGAGGCTGCTGGCCTCTTCCCCACCTCTCACTCGGTGCTCTACATGCGAGGGCGGCTGGCTGAGGTGAAGGGCAGCTTTGAAGAGGCCGAGCAACTGTACAAGGAGGCACTCACCGTAAACCCGGATGGCGTGTGCATCATGCACAGCCTGGTAAGCCACCCTCCCTTCACCCTCCCATGACCTCTCTTTGAATCCCTCTCACCCTTCCTGCCAGCACCTGGCTGGTGCTGATGCTGGTGCTGATGCTGGTGCTGCTTCTGCTGCTGCTGCTGCTGCTTCCAGGCATCTCTAGGAGGTGGCTTCCTGCCAGCTCTCCTGTGAGAGACATCAGCATGTCTTCTAGGTGTGAGCTGTTTCCTTGCCGTCAGAGTCTGCACTAATGGGAAAAGTCTAGATGGGATGGTTGGCATTTTTGTGACTTCCATGTTGCTGTGAAGTTCTGCATGTGATTTACTCCCAAGATTCCATGGCCACGTGTTAAAGCCTTACCCTGGGAGCTAATCCAGACTCTAGGCAGTTCCCAGAATACCTTGCATGAGGTTCCTCAGCCTCTCACCAATCATTCCAGGAGAGCTCTGTTTCCTTGAAGGACTCAAGGTTCTCAAAGGTGAACCATGTTAGGTCTGGCATGGTTGTACATTGAGAATGGTCCTAGGTTGTATAAGGGATCACCAGACCCCAGTTCTGGGACATAGACACAGGACTTGGGTACCAAGGACACAGTGACATGCCTGTGGTGGAGTGGTTTGGTAGCTGAGAAGTGCTCATCCTGTCCTAGCTACCTTCTACCTTGTGTGGTCATGGTGAGCCCATCTCTGAACCTCAAGTGTGCTTTTCCATCCAGTGAAGATTCTGTTGTCGGGGAAGCACTATTGTGTTTCTTACTCTGCTAGAATAAGACTCTACAGATGACCTTTTACCCCTGTTTTCCATGCTGATTCCAGAGAACAGAGATCAGGACAGATAGAGTGGTCACTGAAGGAGCTCACAGCTGAAGACTAGGTTACAATTGGATATCCCCTAATCTTGAGAATGGCTGTTCCAGCACCCCTAACATCTGGCCCTGGAGAGCACAGGGTGGGAAGGGTTTCATGTGGTCAGCAGGCTCTGTTGCCAGACAGATCTTATCTGTCCATTTCTGACAGGAAGCCCTGGGAGCTGGGTTTCAAGTTGGGTTTAAGGAGGTTAGGCACACACTCAGAAATCACTTGAGAGGATGGGACGCCAGGGAGAAGCTGGACCAAAGCATCTTTATATTCTTTGTAACCCACTAGTTCCTGAAAACAGAACCGATTCCCTACTCAGATCCCATTCCTCCTGCCAGGTTTCTTCTTAGGCTCTGTGAATTTTGAACCCCAGCTAAGAAAAAAAAATATTATAGACCACGATGTCACACAGCCCTGTCCCTTCCCATAGCTACCTCCTGTCCAGTGGTCAGCCAGCTAGTGTTTGGTTTGTACAAGGCACAGCTTCTCCTTCCTCCTCCATTTCTGCCATTGGCTTTGATGGTTAATGCCTCACTCAGATGTCTCAGAGGTCATATCCAGAAGACTGCATTGTTGAGGAGGACTGGGCTGCCATTACTTGTGGATCTGAGCCTGCAGCCTCAACCTCCAAACCCAACAGAATCCAATAACAAGTACAATTGTGAAGTAACAGCATACCATTTTTCATTTATGCTTATTATTGTTTGTAGCTATTTTCTTGAAATTGAAGCAGTTTCCAACCATGGGTTTCCATGGTAACTGAATAACTGTCCAGAGTAGCTCCCTGCAGATGTTACTGAAATGGTCCCTTTTCTCCTCCTGGGGTGCCTTGCTGATTTTATAAAATTGGAGCAAGTTGGAGGCCAGGGCTGCCCACTCTGTTACCAGCAACCAGAGGGGCAGTCGGCTCCTGAGTGGGCAGCCTATCCCCTTTCCACAGGCTTAGTTCCTGCCAGCATCCCACACATATGCATAAAGAATAGCAAACTGAAAGCCTGGAGAAGATTTACTAAGCATACTTTCCTGCAGAGGTGTGAATGCTTCAGCATGTTGATCTCAAGTGTTCTCCTCATCTAATGTCTTCCTTGTGCTGCTAGCCTGTGACTCAAGACATCTGGGCTCTCATTCTGGCTCTGGCTCTGGTTGACTTGGGTGACACAGGACAAGAGTTAACTTTTATTGTTCCCAATATCCCCTTTTATAAGTAGATAATAATTTTCCCTAGTCCATAGTGTTTTTATATCAAATGAGATGATATCCATGAAAGTCTACAGTGAAATAGGAAAGGAGATGAGCTAGCATATAGACCACTGTTCTCCAGGGCCCTTCACTGACAGGCATTGTAATCAATCATAGCACTGCCAGGCAGGAGTAGAGATTGAGATCTTTCATAATATAATATAATATAATATAATATAATATAATATAATATAATATAATGCAATAGAAAACACTTGTAGGTTGAGTCAGCTTGGTATTTATACCAAGAATTCACTGTGAAACCATCCATGGAGAATGAGAGGGACATCATTTTATGTCTTCTGGGATAGGTACATCCTTAGAGAAATACCAAAGAAAAGAATATAGGTAGTTTCTGGTCCCCACCATGAAGTCATTACCAAGACAGGTCCCTAGGGAGACACACTAGCTATAGGATATCATTGAACCTTGATGCCGCCTATAGGAGGCATGTAGGGGAGCTATCCTTCCCTGTGGTATCTCAGTCACATACAAGCCCAGGCTGGAAAAGTCTTCTGACATCTTGGGGAAGTCCCCCTCCCTGGGGTCTGGGAAGAGAAGGATGGGGATATTCCTAGGGTGCTGTGTAGGGGGCCAGATTTGAGCCTGCAGTCAGAGGGTGGGGCTGGCAAACATCAGACGAGAAAAGCTCACTGGGAGCCAAAGGCTGCACAGCTTTCTAAGACAGGTACAACTCTCTGCTGTCCTGTTCTGCCATCCACCCTCCCGGGATGTGATGGAAAAGCTCCTCCTGATTCTAGCTCCACCCTCCATGCAAGTTAGGATTTTGCACTAGACCGGGCAAAAAGTATTGCCTCCTTCACACTTCTGTGCCAGAAAAACAATAACAGAAAACCAGTAACAACAAAACCATACACACAACAAAAACCCTCTTCTGTGCCCACAGCCAAATCCAAAGGAAGATGACCCATGATCCCTCAGTCCTTTAGCTCAAAATAGCCTTTTTTGCCAAGGAGGCATCTTTAGGGGTAGCACGTTCTGCAGCCCTTTAGCTCCACTAGAGGATTCCAGCTCGAGCCACAGATGTGCTCACTCTCCACACCCTTGGCTTGCTTAAACAATGTAAGGATGCAGATGCTTCACTGTCTGCTCCTGTGGCCCCCAGCACTGAGTGGGTGTCCATGGGCATGCAAGGCATTTGTGGGCAGCGCCTGCCCTGCTTTCCCAGGAATGTACTCCAGAGGCACAGGCGTCTGCTCTCTTATTGAAGATTAGCTGCAGGTTCTCCCAGAACCACTTCTCCTTGGGCTCCGCAGCCACAGTGGGTAACCCTTGTGTATGTACCAGCTTTGGCTCATAGTCTAGTTCTTAGGCATGCAGTTTCTGAGGTTATCTCTTCTTCCACACGCCCTGGAAAGGTGGGGAAGTGGCACTCTTGCCACCATTTTCTCCCAGTAGCAGACTGGCTTCAGCTATTCTCCTCACGGATCCGGTCATTACAGCAGCGTACAACAACCACACTAGAAGTCACAAGTGCTGTGGCCCCACAGAAATTTTTGCACGATTTCCACCCTGGCCATTTCTTACCTAGAGTAATGAGGACTGGGCTCTGGGTGGGGCCCCTTCAGGTGCTCCAGAGTCCTATAGGACTGGTTTCTGAGGCCAGAGAGGTGGACTTTGGTTATAAAGGCCTATATAACATCCCCACCCAGCCATCCCAGTCCTGGGGGAGTGGTACTAGATTCTAGGGGTGACAGACAGAGGGAGCCAGCCTTGACTATCCATAAGTTATAAGAGAGCTTAGGCATGTGTCACTGGATGGGCTGGTTTTTTGTTTTGTTTTGTTTTTTTCCCTACATCAAGGGAAATAATAATTTGGGTCCTTATGATGTTAGAGTGTGTTTTCGGGTTCAGATGAGCTGAAATCCATGAGAAAGAGACAGTGTAGGGTACCTTTGTCACCATAATGACAAAACATCCTGCAGCAGCAAGCAGCCTAAGTTCAAGCCCCACCTTCAGCCAGGTAGACTTCTGTTGGGCCACATCACATCAGTAAGGGGATAGGGAGACACTGGCACAAGCTGCCTTCTAGTTCCAGGAAAAGTTTATGGTCAGTAGAGAATTGAGGATGCAGGGAGGAAGAGGAAAGTGAGCCAGCAAGGTCAGGATTCCTACTGGGACTGCTTCTAGCACTGGTTAGCTAGGGAGCACTGGCCTGAAGTTAGGTGGGACTGTCAAGCTCACCTGACCTGCACTTGAGGTCCACATTGCCTTGTTCACTGTTTAACCTTGGCCAAGGAACCTTTCAGAGGTTCAGAATTCCTGTCTGTGCATGGGGGTGGCTATGCCAAGTGTATAGTGCTGCTTTAGAATGCAGCTGAGTAATCGTGTAGCCGCATGGGCCAGTGGCTGAGGCTGTCTACCTTTCTCACCCTGAAGCTCCTGCTGCATGTTCAACTGCTCTTGGTTTGCAGAGGGAGGTGGGAACCCTGAACCAGCCCAGAGGCTCTTTTCATTAAATCTCACCAAGTCCCCCAGAGAAAGGCGGCCAAGGTACAGGTATTTAGGATATGGGACCCTCTGCCTTGTGGAGGGGACCTCCTCGTAAATACAGTGCACAGCCATGGTGACCTTAGCTAAGGGAGGAGGAGTGTCTGCTCCCAAGAGGATCCAGAGGGAGGAGAAGGATTTGCAGCCTTGTCTCGCTGATCTGAGGGAGCTGGAGAGGCATTGTGACGACAGGCTTTGGTGAGGCACTCTGCTGGCCCTGCACTCTGGGCTGTAACCCTGCCAGGCTGGTCACCATCTGTTTGATGACATTGCAGAGGAAGAATGAGTGTCCTGAGAGGCTGAGAAGTAAAGCCCAGGCCCTGCGATTTTTGAAGGTTCTCTAATGTTGTCCAGAGCAATAGCACACGTAACAGCCAAGCCTCAGGGTCCCTGACACAGCCCAGACCCATCTGC